ATGAAAAGTGGCGTTAACAAATTGACAAGATTTGTGCTCTATGAAAGAAAAATTATTTCTACGAAATAAATAATATCTTTCCCAGCGATGAATATGAATATGCATATGAATGACAATATTCATAAAAGACAAAAGTAACACAATTAGTGATGAGAACCAACCGAATTTCAGGTTTGAACAAAATTTTCGATAACTACTGAAGTTAAGTAGTTTTCGAATTTGTTCGATCGAATTCCAACCACACAATTTTGAATTTCGATCGCAGCACCGAAATTTGAAATCTTGAAAATTGTGTTTGGCTGGACTTCGAGTGAACCCAAATTTCACACGGTTATCATATCACCAATAAGCCGTACGAAACACATGCACGCGCATCATTCAAGCTATCATATCGCTGCTTATAATCATTGAAAGCTCATTTTCAAATGAATCTTCGGTTCACTGGGAAATAAGCTTGAAGTGAGAAAACTCGTTACATTCAATGAAAAAAAAAAAACAGTCTGGAAAATGACTGCTGAAATACGAAATACATTAAAAAGTGGAATGACATCGAAAGACTCACCTTCATTTTCATGAGTTGCCCTTTCTCGATTGCGTAGTTGAGCGGACCTCGTTTGAATCGCGCTTTTTCCTTGACCATCTATGACAATTGGTCGGTATTACAAATGAATAAAAATCCAAAAGACTGTACTACCGTACGTTGAATGGAGCAATCACTCAAGTACTTAAATTTAAACCTAATCAAAATGAAGCCAATTATTTCAGTTTCCAACATCCAGCCATATTCAAAAAACTAACTGTCCCCTAATCAAATACTCGCGAAAAAATACACAAATTCAACGGAAACCTTATCGATGTCCTCATCCGTGTAACGATAGTTCAACGCCTTCTTGATATCTGCTTCCTTCTTTTCAACGTGATCAATCGTTATCACAGGTATTTTCTGAAATGTCTAATGACGCATTCAAATCGAGTCATTCATCCCACTCACAAATATCTAATAAAACTATTTTACATATTTCTCACTGATACTGTTCACAGATCAATGCGCGAACTTACAGCAGCTTTCGTTGCGTCCAGCCATTTTATGAATT